GATTTGGGCCATCTTCTGTGGGAAAAGCAGATTACTTCATACTCTGTTCTGGAAACTTTTTTTCAGGGATACAAACTTTTTCAGAACACCGGTAGACGGCAGCCATTACAGACGAACATGTTTGTTGTTGTTCCAGGAGTGGCTCGGTCACATGCTAATGTCATTAGTTCGTTATCATTACTGAACTGCAGGACTGCCTTTTTTTCAAATCATGTCGCCTGCCTGGATCTGTTATTATCTCTCTCTGAAGCATGAAGGAGTGTCAGAGGTGAGCTTGTTTCAAATGCTTTTTATGACATGGTCTCATTTCCGGACTCACGCATTTTGCCGATATTTCAGTTAAAATACAAAAGTAAAAATATTTATCCAAGTATAGTACTACCTCCCAACTTTATGGATGATTTTATGGATTAAATTTTACGCATTATACTTGAATAAATACGGTGGACTTTGCTAGTTAAGCTTTTAGCTTCCATTTGCTACATTTAGTTTCTACCTAGCCTTATGTGAATTTTGGATGTTTTTTGCTACTTTTGGTTTTTAGTTGGCAATATTCTTCTCACTTTTTAGCAGTTTAGTTTTTTTATTTTAGCAAAGTCAGTCATCACGTAGCTTTCACTCTGTGTTTTTACCAAAAATACAAATAATTCTCTATCAACTGATTGATATTTTTGTTTATTTGCATAGCAGCTGCTTTATTTTGTTTATTAGTTTTTTCTTCCTGATATGTAACATTTGAGAAGTCCATTGCACAAAAGTATGATGTATACGTCCATAATACCAGCTGTAAGCCACGCATGAACAGCCCTTGAACTCGTAAACAGCATAATCAGTTGCACAAACGTCAAGCCATGCTTAAATGGAGCAGCTAATTCAAGCCAGGTGTAAATCATCTACGATGAATGCGAGTTCATGGTTTGATTGTTAGACTGTCTTCGTGTAGCACAGATTTCCTGATCACACATTCTGACAACACTGAAGTAAAGCAGCTCCTGGACCACGGGGACGGGCTGAAGGTGGGATGTGTAGTGCCTCTGCAAGGTTTTCTAATCTGCTCCTCTGCCAGTTGCCCTGCATCAATGTTTCTATGTAAACTAAGATTAAATGTTTTTATGGTCAACATAAGTTGCATAGTGCTTTTTACAATTCATAGTTCTTTTATGGTTGCTTTTTCTTTTTCACTCTTCTCAAGAATAAACACTGAATAATACCCAGAATTATGATCAATGCATCCATTCATTTTAAAATCTGTAACAATAAACTCATGTCAGGAAAACTAAAGTTGATGTGGTTCAAAGACATGAAGCTGCAGGCTTCTATTGCAACACCAAATACCAGACTGACACGTTAAATCTAAAACTCCCCACAGGGCCATGACCTGTGAGAGGAACCTGCCTGGCCAGAACCACACCATGAGCTGAATCAAAAGAAACACTACACAAATCCACATCATGCAGATTCAAAATGCCAAATCTGGACTCCAACTTGCCTCTTTTAGTGGTTTTTTTAAAAATTGGCCCACGGTGAGAGTGTCCAGTAAAAAACCCTGTTTAGTCCAAAGTACGACAGTGTGCCTCAGACCAACTGGCAGTCTGGACATCCCCTCCCCCACTAGCAACGCTGGAAGTGTATTAAAATAAATCTGTGCACACGTCCCACCCCGACATGTTCACTAGACATGACCTTATACAAAGCTACCACCATGTTTCCCTGTCTGCTCGTCTGTGCCCCCCATCCTCAACTCCACCCACACYATCCCTGCAGACCTCCTCCTCCTGTGTTTGTGTGTACACGATCGCATGTAACATGACTCAACAAAACCTCGGGCATGGAGAATGGGGCCGACCACGGCTTTTTCCCAGGAAGAAAGGAAACACCGACGCCATAGGAGACCTGGACCGTGACCTTCCACTTGTCAGTTCAAACACAGAAGTGCAGCTAAATTTAAAAACAACTATTGGTTTGACCTCATGCTCCAGATTATGTGTTCAGATGACTTTCAGCTACTACCCCAACAAATTTTAGCATGAAAACTAGTAGCCGCTCCTGAGAATAAATATTAGTGGGACGGACAATAATTTCCTAAATCAATATCAACACAAATGTTACATTTGTGGCATGTTTTCTGTGAAAAAGCTATACAATACTTACACACTTGGACATAATTGTTGGTACCCCTGTTTA